GAAAAAAAAAAAAAAAAAAAAACTAAATTGATACAAGAGCAAAGTATAATGTACAAAACAAATTATATCAATAAAGAAAAGCAAGTGTAAAAACATCACGTGTACTAAATCATCACAACTATATGTTGGCACTAAAAAACTCATCATATCTTTTGCTAGCATTCCTATAGTTGGTGAGCAACCAACCAAAGAAACAGAAGAAAAAAAAAAAAAAAAAAACCCTTGAGGAGTATTTTGGGGTAAAAACTATTTAATTGAGGGGGATTTTAGGGTGATAATTACTTACAATAATGTTTGGGACCCCCTTTTGGGGAGACCCCCACCACCTCCACAGTAATGTGGACCAATGATGTTTTTATATATATATTTTTTTTCTCTTTCTTACTGAGACCAATCATAAGTAAGTGGAGATGTAGATGTGATATTTTGTGAGGGATCTTGTTTATTCAATAGAGTAACGTTAAAGATATTATGCTATACGTGCCCTCTAATGAGCCTCTCGATCATAGTATATTTGGGGTTGGGCTACATGTATCCAAGCACCAGGTCTAATATAATGAAGAAGAAAAAAATTATGATGAAATTGCGATTATGAATATTTGATATATATATATATATATATTTTTTTTTGGGTGTTGATTTTTTACCTCACAATCAAATAAGGAATTTAGGTGGAGAGCATGCGATATATATATATATATATATTTTAAGCAACTTAAATAAGTTGTTTTGTACATGCTTTCTTTGGTTCTAAAATTTGTTGGAAAAAATAAAAAGAAAACTAAAGGAGAGAATAATTCTTTGATTTTATTTGGTTTGGCTAAAAATTGAGGGGGGCAAAATAAATAGAAATTTCTTAAATTTTTTAATTCTTATCAATATAAAAATATATATAAGTAAATTCATTTTATTCTCATTTTTTTCAATAAATTCTAAAACCAAACATACACCAATGAGAAGTCATAAATTACTATGGTTTCAATATTATTGTCATTTTGCGTATAATTTCTTACCGTGTGTATTTTCAAGAAACAATCAACTTTTATTCAATTCATTAAGAACTTGTTTAAGATCATTGGTCATGTAAATAAATTAAATTTAAATACATTTCAGAGCTTGTTAATTTTTTTTAGCATGATTTGCTATTCAAGCTTGACTTAATTAAAACTCATATGAGTTTGACTCAAATGATTAATAAAAAAATTTAAAATTTAAACACAATTTTAAAATTTCATTAATTTTCAAATTAACTTGTCTTTGGCTTATTAAACTAAAATGTTACACCAAAGAAAAGCACGTGACCTCCACTGACTTTGCTGACTTTTACAGAATAATATATTTACGAAGTTAATCATAATATGAAAATATATTAATATTGGAGAATAATTATATAGTCAAATATTTAAAATAATAATAAAATGGAAAAAAATTAAAGTAATGTGGATGTACCCGATCTTCAAATAGGTTCATTCAACAACTATTATAATTGTTATAACAGACAAAGCTCCTAATAATATTAATTGATTATTAATTTAATATCAAAAGAAACAAATTGTGCAGTGGACAGACGATTTGTAGAATATTTCATAAACCCAAAAAAAATAAAAATTAAATAAATTAAATTAAATTAGCTATTAATGGACAGGCCTATGGATCAGCGATGCCCTAGGATCGCACAATGCATTAGCATCTTCAATAGATTTATTTTTTTTATATATATATTTTTTAAGTAAATAGTTACACTGACATTTCTTTAATAATAAAAAATATATTACAACTAATTTCATAGTTTTATTAATGTATCAAAGTAAAGGGTCAAGAATCTTTTATCTCTAAATATTTTTTCTTTTTGTTTCAAAATACTCACAGTCATTCAACGGTAATATTAATTAGCAAAATTATTCATTTGTAGAGACTAGCTTGTTTTCTATCCAGGGTCTAGACTAGTGTAATTTGAGTGTGTGGTTCAATCGCATGTTTCGTTTTGATAATCTAAATCTTTTATTTTATGAATTCGTGTGCATAAATAATTTACTAAAAAATTCAAATTGATTTGATAATTATAATCATATGATTTCATTATATTTATCTTCTAAACATATATAGTTTTAAAAATAAATTGTTCATTTTGATATTTTTATAAATAATCTACATATTACAATTTATAAGATGAATGATCCTAATCAATTACGAGAGATCCATAGTGTGACATAAAATTTCAATTGAGTTGGAGACAAACTATTCTGTTAGAAAAATGACTTAGACCTCCGGCTGGGGTCGTCCCTGATTGGTGCGAAAACAGTTTTTTTTTTTTCTTCGGCCAACCACACGCTGCCACGTCACTGGGGTGGCACTGGGGGTCGGTAGCATTTCCCATTCCGTTAATTGTATAGATCAAAAAATAGGCCTAATCATAGAGGAATGACGTTTGGGGTTAGATCTTAATGGAGCCAATGTCTCATATGTCACATTTGGGTGGTGTTACACAACATAGCCGTTTAACCATGTAGCGGTTAGTTATGAACTAATTATACAAATAAAGGAATTCTAACCCATACTCTTAATACTAAGTGTAATTTGTCCAAACTTAAAAAATTTATCTTACTAACTACATATATTATTACCCAAATAATTAGTCCAAAAGAAAATCAAATCTGAGATCTTAAATATAACACTCTAAAAGTCTTACCACTCCATCACCCCCTTGACTTATTTGTAAAGATTACTTCTTGAGACAATGCCAACTCTAGAAGAATTCCTAGAAGTGGAAATAAATAATATCTATATTATATGTGTAAACTCAACTTTATTTTCTCTCTCTCACGAGGTTCGAAGAGTGAGAGTAGTGATTGGTATGTGGCAGTCTCTGCTATGATACTACTAAAATATAACTAATATACTTGTAAAAGAATATGCTTTCCTCTTAACATTCTCTGTAAAAACTACTACTTTGTTACTTTTATAATTCACCACAAACCCACCATACATACGAAGGTCTTCTCTGAAATTCATGGTAGATTATGATTTCCCATTTCCCCCCAAAAAGGTTCACTCACATACACATTTACTTATATGAACAATTCATACACTCTCTTGAAGCAAATTCAACACATGATTGTCTCTCTAATTCTTTCTTCTCAAGAAAAAAAAACACCATATCATTCTTTTTAAATAATAAGACTTGTCAAAATTGTGGCGTGAGTTTGAATGATACAAATAATCTCAATATAGATGAGAATAAAATTACGTACAATTTATCATTTCAAACTCTACTTTATTATGAGTTTGGTGAATTGACTCGCCTCTCTCTTTTTAAAATTCCAATTTTGAGAGTTTTTTTTTTTTAAATTTTAAACTGTAGAGACTTTTTTTTATCAAAAAATAAAAATGCTATGAATCCACCCTTATTAACCCATAATTTATCCCGAATGTGTTTGTGTGGTGGAAATTAAACTGATAAAATGTGAGTTCATGAGTAAAATGAATTTGAATTATTAATTTTTTTTTAAAATAAATTCTGAATTCATAAATCTGAATTTGTAGTGTTGTTATCAAAAAAACATAGCAATGTATACACATGGTTATGGTCGGTGAGGTGTATACACATGTTGTGAGTCATTACTCTGTCTCTTGTCTCACCTTTTCTTTCCTCTCTTTAATCTCTCGTGTATGTTTTGCAGCCCCACTACAAGTCTTTCACAAGCATAAAATTAGAAAGGAATAATCATACATGGAAGTTGTTTCTCCCAATAATTGCCAGAGGAAACATGCATATGGAGGATATAACGCATATATATACACACTAGAGACTTACATATATATGCGTGATGTGTGTATAAATGTATATGATGTGATTGAGAGAGAGAGAAAAGATGAATAGTTCAAATCATGGATGAAGAATTATATATCCTGTCTTCTAGGAATTTTAATTAGGTGGTGTGTCTTTCTAATTTTATTGGTTGTTCTATATAATATATAGAAGGAAAAAAAAAGAAGAAATAATAGATATGTAACCAATAGAATTATAAAGACATATCACATCAGATATGGGGTGAACCTATGTGATAATTTTTCATCATGGTCATTTTCATAATAAAAAACTATGACATTTACACCATCTCCAGCCTTCACTTTATATATAATATAGATATTTAAAAATAATACATAGAATTTGAAATATGCTGATTATATTATTATTTTTCACCTAAATCAAGTTCAGCAATGGTATATACAAAATAGAAAATTTATACAAAAAATTTATACATAATGACTTATTCAATAAAGAGTTGATTAAATATCTTCATTTATACCAATAAGCTTGTCACTTCATTTGGTCCAATATTCTTTGTAAAAATGCATGTGAAATAGCATTTTCCAATCGAGTTCATATTTAGACCATAGATTCATATCTTGAACAATTTTTTAATATTTTTTTTTGTGTATAATTAATCGTTGGATACAAGTTTATTCCTAAAACGTCATCTTCACTAAAGTATAATTATTGATTAGAAGTGCAAAAGATCTTATTAGAAGGTGATCTTGTCACTTAAAAAATACAACATACATAGTACTCATTTCTCTACATTGAATGAATGCACATGTGCCATAAATAACCCTCAAAGACTAATTTTTAGTACAAATTTCATGATTGGATATGATAATTGATTATTTGAATGCTCTATTTTCATTTCGTGTGTTTCTATATTTCACTCCTTTAATATTGTCACGTTGAATGCAAGATACTTATTTTTTGATAGTTAAATTTTTTTTTAAATCAATTTGATTTTAAATTTTGACCACATAGAGAGTTGGAACAAAAATAAGGACATCCAATAAATTATCATGTAAGTCAAGGAAAAGTAAATAATTACTACCGGGATAATGTGAAATATGTTATATCCAAATTATCTTCAATGTGACTATACTGTATTAGAATGAACTTGAGCAGCACACTTCATTTTATGTGTTTTGTAATTTTATTCAAAAATCAAATGAAACTCTTGAAAGAAAAATATTTGCTAAATTAGCAAAATTTAGTTCAAGAATTTGGCCAAATAAACCAAGAGGACATTAAAGAGTCTACACCCCCTAACCTTTACTCCTCCCTTTTTCTTTCTTTTTCTTTTTCTTTCTTCTTTTTGCATCAAAATTTTGGAGAAAAAATAAAATGAAATAAATTAAAAAAGCTACAAAAAAATTCAACGTTAGGCAACATTACCCCTAGGAAATTAGAAAATTATGAAAAATTCACTGCTAAACCTCGAGCTCTCACCCAATTACCCTAGACCATCACATACTAGATCAGATGCCGAAAGTCGGGCCCAATATGCTGGTGGATCAAGTAATCTTCACCGTTGGATACATCAAATCTCATGCTCTGATGAAGAAACTGTTGCTGCTGTTGATGGGCTCTCTGAAGCTCCTTCTGTCTTCGGAGCTCCAGCACTTTCCGGTGCGAATTTGAGTGCTTTGTCAGCATGAAAGTCGGGCTCGCTGCGGGCCTGTACTCCGGCACGAGCCGACCCGACTTATACCGAACCCCACAGGCATTACAAAGCGTCTTCGGGCCCAGAGGCCCGGTCCGCCACTGCGGTGTCTTATCGGTGGCACAATGCAGGCACCGTCGCCCATCACCGCCGCTCCCGGCGGCCTCATTGTCTCCACCTTCTTTTTTCTTCATCGGTACTTTCACCGTCTTTTTTCCCGAACTCGATGCAATGTCGAGCTCCGATGAGGTCGGTGATGCTATTGTCGTTGGAGAGAGAACGGAGAGGCGGGACGTCCAATTGCCTGGGGCGGCGCGTGAGCGCTTGCTACGGGCCTTGCCAGGCACCGACACCTCCGGGCAGAATATCGGGTTGGCTCGGTTTGGTTCGGGCTGAAATTCACGGGCCGCTTCATCATCAGTTCGGGCTTTCATGCCAGAGATTATCTGTAGCTTCTGCAAATCCTCGGTCGAAAATGATTCTTCAACAAAATTCGATAGCCACTCCAGCTCAGCTAAATCATCATACTGTAAAACAACATATTTAAATCAATAATCCGTATACATATTGATATAAATTCTTGCTTTTCATCAGTAAATGTGTATATATACATGTTAATTTGGTTGTCTAGATTTTTTTTTTTCTTTTTCTTTGGGTAATTCAAAATTTGAAGTGGAATTTTTATTGTTTGGGACCACATAAAATAACAGAATCTACTACTCAACTAGCTATACCAAACTAATATAAAAAATAAAAATAAAAATCACAATTTTTTTTTCTTTTCCCTATCCATGAGACCCATGAGGCTGAAAAAACTGCATTTTAATTATCATTTGTTTTTTCTTCCATTTTCTTAGCAACCAAACAGAGAAAGAGACAGTTTCTGTTCGCAAAACAAGCCAGAAGCCATTCCTTCACCATATTTCATGCAAAAAATTCTATAAAAAATTAAATAAATATTTTTATTCAAAATTTAGCCCTAAATTTTAAATTTTTTTGCGTGAACTCGTGAAATTACCGGCACGCAGAGGTCGTTAGAGAATTGAGCATCGGCAAAGCTCCGGCAACCCAAGTCGCCGGAGAAGTGAGGCTCACAGCCGGAGATGGAGGAGTTGCAGCTGTCGACGACGGTGACGGTGGAGGACTCGGTGGAGGTTACGGTGACATTGTCGAACGTGCCGCCATTGGCGACGACGACAGCGTCGTCGCTGGGGAAGTCAAGGAGGTCCTCGACGACGAAATGGTCGGCTGCGGAGGCGGACTTGGTGTCGGAGTGTCGCTTTTCGGGCGTGAATTGGTACCCACCTTGGAAGAATTCTGGTGTAGTTTCCATGGAGTTATTTTTTTGATTTTTTCCTTCTCTTTCTTTGATGCAGAATAAGGGGCACGAAGAAGGAGGAGACGAGAGTGAGTGTTGAGAGTATAGAGAGAGAGAGAGAGAGAGAGAGAGAGGGAGAAAGAGAGAGAAAGGGAGAGAGAGTGTGGTGAGAATTAGTTTTAGTAATGTTTTGGATGAGAGAGAGAGGTGGGAGGAAGAGTGAAGGTGAGGGTTTATTTGCGTTGGAAGGGGACAGGCGGACAGCTAAAATTGTTTATTTTGACTAGAAAATTACAAACACTTGGCTTTTAAAAAAGTAAATATATATATATAATATGTAAATTTAAAAAGAATAAATATATATATATAATATGTAAATTTAAAAAGAAAAAAAAAATTGTATGTATCTTTAACTATGTAATAACAAAAAAATAGGAAAAAATTTGTGGAGAAGTTATTTTTTTTCCTTTCTATTGCATATGCTTTGTAATTAATTTTTGGTGTAATCACAAGAAAACTCTTAGATTTTGAGTTTTATAACAAAATAAAGGTTGAATTTTTAATTTTATCGATTTAAATTTTAATTTTTTTTACTTGCTTTCAATCTAAACTACTCTCTCATTTTTATTAAGTAAAATCGACAGAAAAAGTAATATTTTAGTTATTAAACTCAATGTAAATATATATATATATATATATGTCTAAAATAACATTTTTCATAATTTTAATGATTAAAATGTTCATTTTTTCATTGATTTTACTTCACAAAAATATGCAAATGATTTAGATTGAAAATAAATCTAACGTATAAAATTTAAACTGACAACATTAAAAATTCGGGATTTATTTTGTTATATCGCTCAAACTCTGAATTTTATTTTATTTTTTATAATTTGCCCTTAGTTTTTTCAGTTTTTTCTTTTATGTTTTAGGCAAAATTATTGTCTCTGTTCTATATAGTGCACGAAATAAGTTGAACCTTTCCAGATAACTTCTCTCTCATTGGATATGAAAATTTACGTAGAAAGTCTAGTTTATAGGATACCTCGTGTGCTAATCTAATTATTTTGTTCTTATTTTTAAGATAAATTGATCATATAATTCTTACTATTGTATTGAAACTCGAAAAACTTGTAGTTCTTTTGTTCTTATGTTCTAGAAAAAAATGATAATATATCTCTTATTATTAGATAGGAACTCAAGATCTTCTATTCCATTGTTTAATGGAAAAATTAATAAAACACCCCTCTCTAATTTTGGATAATAAGAGAGATACAATATATATATATATATATATATATATATTTATTAGTTAAAGTCTCTTGATGAAATTTTTTTATGATCATATCAAAAAAAATTTAAAATTTCTATGTGAAATCAGAGAAATTTTTCTGTATCAGGGCGAAATTTCTCTATGTTGAATTTTCTTTATGAAAATATTAAACAACCCCAACTATTGTAAAAATATTATATGTTTTTTATCTTACAAAATCTTAATATCATAGAGTTTAAAAAAAACAATTCCATATTTTATTTCCTCTTGTCTCAAACACTCTCATTATCATATGATTTATCTCTTTTTTTTATGGTAGAATACGATCTATTTCTTAATTTTAGGATGGAGCAAAAACAAAATTTCTAGTTCCGTTAGACACGGACACATCTACACGTGATAATTCAGACTTATGAAATAATCATAGGTAGTTTTTATTTTCAGAAAAATATTAAGACTTATTAAAATCTCACAATTTTATTTAAAATATTTTGATTTGTCACAAATTCACTTATGTAATATCTAACCCTCTTTTATGTCATTATTAGTGAATTATAAGATTAAAATTTTAAGTTTGTATAATTTCTTTAATAAGCAAACTCAAGCAAAAATTATCTTATAAGTCAAAAAAAATCATATAATCATATATCCATCCAATAACACCATGTCATTCCTTCACCGATTTTCTAATTTCAAGGCCATGTAATTGTCAGACCCCTACTATTAATTAACCAAACTGCCAACATAAAATTTTTCAAAGACAAAAATAATTACTTATTCAAGAAATTTTATGATCATTGGCCATCCTTTGGTGGACAACTGTGCAGTCTCTGATGTTATAAAGAGCAATAATGATAGAGATTCTCACAAAACATAACTTTCACAATCCTCAAAATAATCTAAACCAGTTATGTCACTGTTAAATACAACCTCTCAAAAAAATTTAAACACATCAATTATCAATACATCAGGGTCACGAAGATCCTCCTTTGTGGGTCCAAACATTGTCCTATAAAAAGTGGAAAGGTCATTTCAATATAGTCTAATTTTAATGGAAAATGATAATTTTACAAAAATTAAAATGTAAGAAAATCATTACTTAATGCATTGAAGTAGTTATTTTCTTTTCTTTTCTTCATGAATGAATATAAATATATAGAATTCCAAGTAGAAAGAAGTGATTTAGTTTAAGTAATATAATTTTGATGTATTAGAAATGTTGGCAATGTTTGGTCTAAGTTCCTGAATTTATTTTTAATTTGTTTAATAAAAATTAATTTGACAAATATAAATATTAAAATGATATTTTTAAAATTTTAAAAAATATTTTTACCTTTTTTAAAAGATAAAATTATATAAAAATAATAGGTGCTTTTAATTTTTTTTTCACCAATTTATTTTTTATTTTTAAATCTTTCTTTCTGAAAATAGACTCTAGAACTAAACCAAGTAGAGTTGTTTTGCGTTTCAAATGAATTCTAACCTACCCCTATGAATCGTTCAAATCAGTTTTATATTTTTATTTTTTTTTAGAGAGGAAAAAACAAATTGTTCAAATCAATGGTAGGTATATATACCACGTGAAAAATGCACAATTTACATCAAAAATAAAATTAAAAAAATTACATCACCAACTTTACCATCAATTTTTCGATCGCCTATGTTAAAACAAATAAAATGTTAATATAACCATCTTTGGTTTACACAAAAAAAAATTAAAATGTAAAAAATAATTTAGTGGGTTTTTAAGAGAGATAAAATATTTTGAATGAGAGAGAGAGAGAGAGAATACTAAAAAGTATAATATGAATTTATTTCTTTAAAAAATATATTTTTAAAATATCTCAATATATTTTTCTTAAATTTCTGAATTTTTATAATTTAAAAAAATGTGTCATCACATTATTGGTTCTCATCAAATTTTTTTATTTTTTTTATTTTAATGATCAATATGGAAATATTTTTCAAAATATGTCTATTAATTAGAGAATCTTTGTATCTGTTAGCGTAAGGTTTTCTCTGTTGCTGCTGTTTTTGTATCTGATGGGGTCTTGTGTGTAGTGGATGCTGGTTTTGGTATTTTGGGTAGATTAAAAGGGATCTGGGTAACCCAGGGGTGAGTGGCAACTTGGTAAGGGCCTGGGGTTTAAGCTAGGTCCTGGGGTTTAAGCCCCTAGGTCCTGGGTTCAACTCCCCTCTGGGTCAATCTCCTGGGCGTAGTACAGTTGGTTAGGAAGTTGATCTCAATGATGCATTATCAGCTACTTGGTGTGGGTTTAATTCTCCCTCGTTGTGCGAATCCTGACTTAAGCGGAGCTTGCCTTGGGAGGTCGGAACAAGCTTCCAGGTTATAGTCTCTTACTCGGAACGGACAAGAGGTCGGAACAAGCTTCCAGGTTATAGTCTCTTACTCGGAACGAACAACAGGACACCCTGGTGATCTCCTCAAGGGGCGCTGCCTTGGACCTGCGGGAGAGTGAGAGGATTTTCCTGTAACAAAAAAAAAAAAGGATCTGGGTTGCTGTTAGCATAAGGAGTTTATGCTGTCTTGTTTCTCTATTACTGTTGTTGTGTGTGTATCTGATGCTGTATTGCAGACTCTGTTGCTATATTGTAGGTATCTGTTGATCTCTCACCAAAAGATTCTTGGTTTGGTACTGCCATGTGATTGTGCGAGCTGCTTAGTGTCAACCTAGTTGGGATTGGATTGTCTCGCTATGATGGCTTTTGCATCATCCCTTCCTTTTTTGTTGATGTGTTTCTTCCTTCGTGTAAGGTTCTCCATCATCAATAAAGAGTTTTTCGTTGTTGATCATACAAAAAAAAAAATAGAGAATCTTTAAAATTTTGAAACTTTCTATTTCATAAATTAATGATGAAAATCTCAATATTATTTTTTCAAGTTTATGAATTTTTATCATTCATTTTTTAATTATTTTTTTATCACAAAATAAAATATCGAAAAAAAGTTGTCAAAAAATAATTTATTCACATAATTTCAAATATTTACTTCTTTTAAATTTTAAAATTATTGCTTTAATTTGTAAGATAAAATTTTTAATTATTTATTTAAGGTCATGTACAGTACAAATTTTATGCTAGTATATATATTGTATAATTTACACATTTTGATGCATTTTTCGCGTGTCCAAAGGCTAGTATTTTCCAAAAACAAAAACGAAAGCAAAAGCAAAAAAATTGCTAATGTTGATCACTATGATGACGACGACGACGATGATGATGATTTTCACTGACTATAGAATAATGATATTCTTCTTGAAAATATATTCTCTCTCATCCATTTAATCACAAGTGAATTAAATTTTAAAGTTTGAACTAATTTTTTTTTATTATGGGATACATTTTAATAGTTTAATTTATTCATTTAAAACATTATGTGCTTAAAATAAAGGATCCAGCTTGTCTCAAATTGAGATCAAGACTGGACCCGTCCAGTTCGATTCATGGGGTCCATTTTTTGGGCCCGTTTTGATAATCCGAACCGTCTAATGTGTAGAACTCGTCAAGTACTACATGCTTATAAAAAATCACGTTGATCAGATATCAATACCTATGTGATCAAATCAGTTTTGTGTTAAAAAAAATGGACGGTGAAACAATTAACAGTTGATAAAAAATGTTTTGTTGACATAGCTATCGATACCCGATCAACGTGATTTTTTACAAGCATATAGTACTCGACGGGTTCTACACATTGAACAATCCGGATTATCAAAATGAGACCCGTGATGAACTCTTACGGACCTAACAGCACGGTCCAATCCGATCTTAGACTGGACCAAAGCCACTGCCTAAAAGAAAAAAACAAAAGAGGCAGGTGATGATCCAAAGGTCAACAATCAATGTGGGCATTTTGGTAAATAGACAAAAAGCCCAATAAGGGTAAAAAGGAAAAAGCGCCCAAGAGATGGGGGAGCTTCTATTTACACACACAACATCCACTCTC